TATATATGTGTGTGTGTGTGTGTGTGTGTGTGTGTGTGTATAATTTTTTTTCTGGAATACAAAAGTCTTAGCCTGTTCCATGGCATAAAAGATTTAGTGAAACTTCATCTTATATTTTTAAGTGAGGTATAATTTGCATTCATTTAGCCTTTACATAATTTTCCCCCATTCATAAATTCAACCTATTTAGTGCACAGAACTTGGAATGCTGGCAAATGATATAACAGTAACTACCACAACAATCAAGCTATATTTCACATCTTACAGTAGTTCATTCTTTTTCTTGGGGAGTGTGTTCAGTGGATGTTTAAAACTACAGATGATGCTGAACCTTGTATATACTACATTTTTGCTATACATGCATACCTATGGTAAAGTTTGATTTATGTATTCAAAACAGAGATTAATAACACTAGCCAATAATAAAATGAAACAATTATAACAATATTTAGCACTTAAAGTTAGGTGAAAGTGGTCTGTTATAGTTAAGATATGAAGTATCTACCAAAAATTTATGTGTGAGACAGTGTAAAAAAGTTTAGAGGTAAAATAATTGAGAGATGTTAAGTCTTAACCTAATCAGTGCATTAAGCTCCTGATAGGGATTAATGGGGTAGTAGATAGGTAGGGTGTGGCTGGAGGAGGTGTGTCACTGGGGGCATGTCTTCAGGCTTTATATTTTGTCCATGGTGAAGGGAGATCTCTTTGCTTCCTCATTGTTATCTTCTGAGCTACTTTCCTCCCCCTCATGTTTATGTCATGATGTTCTGTCTCACTTCAGCCATAGACAATGGAGCTGGCCATGGACTGAGACCTATGAAATGGAGCACCAAAAACACTCTTCCTCTTTTAAAATTGTTCTGGTCACAATGGTGAAAAGGCTGACTAATACATGGTCTTTCTCTTCAAAGAGTCAAGACAAGAATTAGTATATCCTTTCAGACCACAGTTGGCTATGGCAGACTGAAAATCATGTGTGTTTTAGTCAGCTTTTCGTGCTGTAATAAAATACGTGAGAAAAACAACTTAGAGGAATAAAAATCTTTATTACTCTCCTTACTCTTTGAATACTAGGCATATAAGAATTTTCTCCCCTTTGAATTTTTCTCCCCTGATTTTTTTTCTTACAATTATGGAGGTTTCATTCCATGGTTGACTGGTTCCTTCTTTGATGGAGGAAGTTAGGTCTGGTGAGGGATGCTCTTAAAGGGAATATTGAGAACCTAGTTCTTCCTTCTCTATTTCTATATTCTTCCTGGTTCCCATAAGCCAAGCAATTTTCTCCATAATGTACTCCTACCACATTATTCTGTCTTGATACAAGACTAAAAGCATTGAATCAACCAACCATAGGCTGAAACTTCCAGAATTATGAAGCAAAATAAGAATACTTTCTCCTTTTAAGTTGATCAACATAGGTATTATAGTAATGGAAAAGTGACTAACGGTGGAGTTCAAATATCCAACTTTAATTATAGATAGGTATACAGAACTTTTCAATTTTGATATATTTTGGCTTCACATATTTTGAACATGTTATGTATGTGACACACATTTGGGATTATTTGCTCTTTTGGGAAATGTATCAATTCATCATGATATATATTTCTTTTTATCGATGTATATTCCTTATTTTGAACTCTTGTCCCTCTGGCTTTCTTTGCTTAGCATTAGCATTATGGACTTTTTACATGGTGCATTTTTAAAGTGGTCTGTCACATAATGACAAAATCATTATGTGAAAATATTTAAATGAAATTTCTACTAATTGCATATAATTTAGTTTTGCATTTTTATTAAGTATAAAAATCTGGCATTTAATGGATATGTTTACAACATTTATACTTAAGGAAAATATTAATAGGATTGTATTTAAGTCTATTACCTTGCTAGATTTTTGTTTTGTTTTTATCTATTCTAGTTTTTCTCCTTTTCTGCCTGACTTTGAATTAATGGAATGTTTTCCATGATTTAATTTTTCCTCTAATTTTTGATGTTTTCCCCTAAGGCTAACAATATAAAACTTTAGTAACTTATCATATACCTTCAAAATTACTATACTATTTTTATGTAAAATGTAAAGACTTTGTAGTTTACTTAATTTTTTACTAAATATTAACCACCTTTTAAGTAAATTAAAATGAAGAAAAATTTACTTTAAAATTTGTGTGAAGCTATTCACTTCTTTATGTAGATCTAAGTTCATGTCAAATATTTTATCTTCTTGATTGAAGAAATTCCTTTAACAACTCTCCAGCTCTTCAGGAATAAGTATTCTGTTTTGTTTGTTTGTTTGTTTAGGAAATATTATGACACCCTTATTTTGAAAGATAGTTACACCGAATATAGGTTTTTGTTTTTTGTTTTTTTTGGTACTGGGGATTGAACGGAGGGCACTTAACCACAGAGCCACATCCCCAGTGCTATTTTATATTTTATTTAGATAGAGGATCTCACTGAGTTGCTTAGTGCCTCCCTAAATTGGTGAGGTTGGCTTTGAACTTGCAATTTGCCTGCCTCAGCCTCGCAAATTGCTGAGATTACAAGCCTGCACAACCATGCCCTGCCAAGGACCTGAACAGACACTTCTCAGAGGAGGACATGCAATCAATCAACAAATACATGAAAAAATGCTCACCATCTCTAGCAGTCAGAGAAATGCAAATCAAAACCACCCTAAGATACCATCTCACTCCAGTAAGATTGGCAGCCATTATGAAGTCAAACAACAACAAGTGCTGGCGAGGATGTGGGGAAAAGGGTACATTTGTACATTGCTGGTGGGGCTGCAAATTGGTGCAGCCAATTTGGAAAGCAGTATGGAGATTCCTTGGGAAGCTGGGAATGAAACCACCATTTGACCCAGCTATTCCCCTTCTTGGACTATTCCCTAAAGACCTTAAAAGAGCGTATTATAGGGATACTGCTACAACGATGTTCCTAGCAGCACAATTCACAATAGCTAGACTATGGAACCAACCCAGATGCCCTTCAATAGATGAACGGATAAAAAAATGTGGCATTTATACACAATGGAGTATTACTCTGCACTAAAAAATGACAAAATCATGGAATTTGCAGGGAAATGGATGGCATCAGAAGAGATTATGCTAAGTGAAGCTAGCCAATCCCTAAAAAACAAATGCCAAATGTCTTCTTTGATATAAGGAGAGCAACTAAGAACATAATAGGGAGGAAAAGCATGAGAAGAAGATCACCATTAAACAGGGACGAGAGCGGGGAGGGAAAGAGAGAGAGAAGGGAAATTGCATGGTAAAGGAAGGAGACCCTCAGGGTTATACAAAAATTACATATAAGAGGAAGTAAGGGGAAAGGGGAAAAAAAACAAGAGAGAGAAATGAATTACAGTAGATGGGTTAGAGAGAGAAGATGGGAGTGGAGGGGAGGGGAGGGGGGATAGTAGAAGATAGGAAGGGCAGCAGAATACAACAGACACTAGTATGGCAGTATGTAAAAAAGTGGATGTGTAACTGATGTGAATCTGCAATATGTATACGGGGTAAAAATGGGAGTTCATAATCTGTTTGAATCAAATGTATGAAATATGATATGTCAAGAGCTTTGTAATGTTTTGAACAACTAATTAAAAAAAGAAAAAGAAAAAAAAAGTGTGTTTTTAATACTACAAAGATGTTACTGTAATTTTTATTTTACATACTTTCTAACTAGAGCTATGGTCTGTTTTTCATCTTTCTGTATATAATATGTCTTCTTCCTCCTGCTCTCTCCAAGCATTTCTCTTCATCTTTGCCTTGTTACTCTTCAAATACTATGTATATAAGAATTCTCCTTTAGGAGAATTTTCTCCCCTTTGGATTCTCTGAAATTCTGACATCTGTGATTTCATTTTTGTTTCACTTATTGTTTTAATCCTCATCCCTCTTTTCTTCTGTACCTTCTCCCTCTGATACTCTAAATATGTTAGGACATATTTTGTATTGTCTACCACTTGTGAATTATTTTAAGTCCTAATTTTTCTAAATTTAGGTAATTTTTCTTATTCTGTTTTCAAGTTCACTTACATTTTTTTCTTAATTTGAATCTGCACATAAGTTTATGAAAAAATATTCATCTCTAATGCTATATTTTATTTCTAGCATTTCCATTAGATTATTTTTGTAGCTTTCATTTATCTGCTGAAATTTAAACTTATTATTTTTAGGCATGTTTTCTAATCTTCCACTAGATGTTTTTGATAAATTAGTCCTAAATTTAAAATATTGGATGGTTGAGTTGATGGAGTTGCCCAAGGCCCGCGTCAATGCCAGCATGCTAGCTCAGTTCATTGACAGGCCCGTCTGCTTCGTAGGAAGGCTGGAAAAGATTTACCCTACTGGAAAGATGGTTATTCTTTCAGATGGAGAAGGAAAAAATGAAACCATTGAATTGATGTAGCCTCTTGATTGAAAAATTGCTGGAATCATGGAAGTAGTTGGCAGAGTAATGGCAAAAGCAACCATCATGTGTGCATCTTATGTCCAGTTTAAAGAAGAAAACAATCCTTTTCATCTTGGACTTTATAATGAAGCTGTGAAAATTACCCATGAGTTCCCACAGTTTTTTTCTCTAAGGGGTTACACAACGTGATTGATCCTAATGAATTTTCTTGTAATTGCAAGTGGCTATGATGAAGATAATTAAAGGAGGCCCCACTTGTTTGAGGGAGAGACTCCTATGATTCCTAAGATTTAATGTGCTCCATTTAATTTTTCATTTACTGAACTTTAGACATCCTAATCTGCATTTTTGTTGAACCTTATTTATTGAATGTTCTCACCCAAGTCCTTTTATAAAATATTGCCACTCCAGCATGTGGTCAGATAAGATATAAGATCAAAGCTGTTGTCAGGAGTCTAAGTTTCTATTTTATTAATAAAAAATTAATACAAAAATATTGTTTTTCCTGAAAGTAATCTTTAAATCTTGATAGTTCTATTTTCTTTGTTAACGAAAGGATGTTTTCCTCCCTCTCTCCCCCTACTCCTTCCTTTGTTCCTTCATTTCTTCCTTCCTTCTTCTGACCCTTCTTCTCTCCCTCCCTTCCTTTCTCCTTGCTTTGCCTTCCTTGCAGATGCCATGTGCATAGAAAAATGATGTCTACAGTGTTTTTCATGTCGAATTGGACATAACTTTTTGTGTTAAAACAACAGTAAATGTGTGTGTGTGTGTGTGTGTGTGTGTACTAAGGTTTTGAGATGGGTAGGATTTCTCTTTCCTATGGCTATCTTTGTCTCACTAAAGGCTTCATATTTTTCCAACTATACATTTTACTTTGAGTGAGGGCTGGGGGTTCCAGAAGGGTTTTTTAAACCTTTATATTCTTGGCTTTTATCTTCCCCATGTGACTATGAGAAAGAAGGAATCTTCATCATCTTATCCTGAATCCCAAAGTAGACTGTTGTGACTTTATGGTTTTTTTAAAAATTATTTTGCTTTTTTGGAATAGACCATTTTTAGATCAGTTTTATTTTTCAACAAATATTAAATGGAAAGCATTAGGAATTTGCTATGTCTCTTTCACTCTCTTTCTCACACACATACAAACACATATATAAAGTTTCCCCTATTATTAGAATTACTGTGACACTTTTGTTAAAATGGGTGGAAGAATAATCATACATTAATTTACTCTTTTGTAGTACTTTCTGGGATTTTGACAAATGTGTGATAACACCCGTCACAACTGTGTCAAGAGGTGTTACACAGCCTAGCAATCCATGGGCTCCTCCTATGTCCCTTCCTTCTGTCTCCATCCTCAAAACTCTGACAACTACTGGTATTTTTAATGCCTGCACAGTTTTGCCTTCTCTAGAATGCCACATATTTGTAATAATACAGTATGTAGACTATTAATATTTGGTTCTTTTACTTAAGAATATTCATTGACGATTTCTTCATAACTTTTGATATCTTGATAGTTCATGTTCTTTATGGCCAATAATACTCCCTTGTATGCCTATACCAGTTTGTTCATCAATTCATCCGTTGAGGCCTATCTTCATTTCTCATACAGACGTCAATTTACAAAATCCTCCATGCTGAGCCTCCAGCCATTCATGAATCACAGTTTGAGAGTTCCCAGGGTTACAGAAAGATGCTTCCTGCTCATAGATTTCTGTCCCGAGAAGTATGCCTCTCTGTACTCACCTATTTCACGCAGTGTTTGGGAAAGCTGTTTGCCCTGTGACCTCTTATCTCTGATAGATCTAAAAAGAGTGGATGATTTTTGATTTGTTCAGCTTTTGTTTTGAAGTCTGTTGCTGTCGTAATCATTGTTAGAAGGTAGGGGATTCTTTGTTGTCCTGGCTCATCCACAGATTTTATTATTCCCTGTATGCCTTCTCCTTGAAGATGAGACTCATTTCTTTCCCTCTTCCCAAGGGCAAACCAACTCTGTCAGTTATTGATGGCTGGTCATTTTGGGGAGACAGGTTTCTGCTTCTACCTTTCTGACGATGTTAAACCTATAACAGCAGTAGGTCTTGGGTTACAGTATTTCCTGTTCATTTTGTATGTGTAAAGTAATTTTTCTTTCATCATCTCCCATCAACTATGGATCTTTTTTCTGAATCTTAAGCATGACAAATTTTTCCGTTTCTTCTCTTGAGGCTTAAGTTTTTTGCTGCATATAGGAGAAGGGAGCCGGAGAGGACCGGCTTCATGCCTTCTGACAAGGTTGGCTATTCATTACAGGAGACTTTCTCTGGATCACAGATCTGCTTTCTAATATTCTTGTGAGTGCCCACTGAAGGATCAAAGGAAAAGAGACTGTGAGTGAGGGTGAATTCCTTTTGTGTTTCCGGAATTTCCTATCATGCTGACAAAGAGACAGAAAATAGCAATTTGTTAAAATGTAACTGCTTTCTTTCTTCCTATACAAATCGCATCTACTCTTTTCTTCCATGTTTTGCCTCAGGTTTTACACTCTGCAGTACTGCCTCTCCATAAACCAGGTTTCTGGGTTGGACTGTAGTTTAGCTTCTGAGGGTTTCAAAATATGTTGTGATTTTGCAGCATATCCAGCTTTGTATTTTTGTTCTTCTTGTTGTTATCATTGGCATCATACAGACTCTCTTTCTAGCTTCCTAGGCAGAAATAGAATCCAGGCTATATTTGAGAGTCTAAGTTGAGTTTTAATTATGGTAGCTTCAACCATCAGGATGTGCTCAGTAATGTCTCTGCTTTATTCATCTATCAATATAAAAAAGGTGATAATGTTTTATACTTTTTATCTGTGTGTCAAAATTTTTAAAAAAAGATATAGTGTGACCTACAGAAATAACTACAGTATGTTATGGGGCTAAAAACAGAAAGAAATTCATGGTAAAGGATAATGAGGTGAAGAATATTATAAAGTCTTGTATAATTGTTATAGATGGAAGAGCAAATAAAGAATGTCCTCAAGAGAAGAATAAACCATTTTCTCAGGAAATGAACACAGAGGTTTGAAGGGAAGTTACTCCCTTGAGTCATTATAAAAGAAGAAAATTGGAGTACAGCAGACAATACCCAAAACAGCATCCCAATAATAAATATAAACTTTAGGTGTCTATAGGTTTCTTATATGTTTCTCTATGGAAATTGAGGACATAATGCCCAAATTGGAAAAAGTAGCATACAAAGAAAGCATAAAAGCATACTCCCACCCCCCAAATCCACATAGGTATTTCTGTTTCTTGATCTTTGAATAAGATAAAATATATAGATAATAATGGAATAAAGGTTGTATGGACCATATGTCCTTTAAGTCATGCTCAAAGCCTCTAGGGATATTGATTTCATAACTGAAATATTGGTTAATGTTGAAAAAATATATATGCATCTCAAAACCCAGGAGAGAATGCAGTGTTTTATAATGACAACTAGAAGAAATATACATTAAAATAGGCTTTTGTGAACTAAAGTACTTTAAAAATTGGTGTGAATATATGTTTATCCCCATTTTGCATTATTAACATGCTGATAAAGTATATATGCAGTGTACAGAACCCCTTGCTACATTGGAAATGAGAGGTGAAGGCCTGTGAACTTTACATCAGTGTTGTGAAAACTGTAAGCCACACTGTGTTTGAAAACTTTTCATTATCGGCAAATTTATTTATTCCTCCTGGTTTTCAGACTCTTACTGGCACTTTGTATTAATTTCCCTTTGTAAATTCAATAATATAGCTTTATGTCTTTTCTATGTCTTACTCTGTGATTACTAATGTAAATGAAAGTTTCCATACAAGACAAAGGGTGTTAGTATTTTCAAAATACACATGCACTTCCCTCTTCAAGGTAAGAAAACAGTGTTTTACCTAATGTACATGGACTGGAATAAATCCTTCTGTAGAGTTACAACATCAGGCAGATTAAACACACTTTAACCATTATATTTTTTTTCCAAAGATAAATGAAGTTATTATTGGCAAAGTTTAAAGGATAATATTATCAGCTCATACCAGTTTATCACTTTTGCTTTGAGAAGTTACTATTCTTTGATGAGAAATTAACAACCACACAGATCAATTTAAGTGAAGTTTGTTAGATGATGCCTTTATGTTTAAGACATAGATGGTAATCAATTTGATATCTCTGTTGAATGGGGAAAATATACCATGGAGGAATGAAATTAAAATCATGTTAAATAAAGAATGCTGCCTTTTTCTTATTATTCTCCTTTTACCTCTGAGGTATATTGTAATATAATTAGCTACCTATGGTGGGTCAAACACAAAAGCCTTATAGTTTAAAATGCAAATTTCATTTTAAATCCCATAACTTGTTCTACTATTAAGTAGAGGGAAACTTGCCTTTAGTTCAGGACAATCATATATTTGATGAGAAAAAAATTTCACCTGGAAGAAAGAAGTATCTCATGTTGCCTACACATTTAACATGTGTAAACCCCCTGTATAATTTTAGAACGAGTGAGAGTCCAGGAACATATCAATATTCAATATGAAACAGGATTGATATGTAGGTATTGGAGATACATTTTTGCATTACTTAGTGCTCTGACAAAAGGTTCTATCCAGTTGGTCACAGGTTTAAAAATTCAGTTCCAGTATTTTCCAATACTAGTTGTATTGGAAATACTACAGATAGACTTGGAAAATCCTCAAACCATTTGTCATGTTATAACAACCCTCTGTGAGATAGGAAAATCAATCATATCTCACCTCCCAGGAGAAGCTCTGGAGAGTAACAGCCAACATGTTGAAGATGTTTATTGTCGACAGTGCTGATAATATTAATAGAATATCACCAGTCTTATGGAAATACGGTTGTAACAGTTCTCAAGACTTAGAGAAAACATGAATATTTTTCCACATGAAAGAAATAAGAGGATATGGTGTTATATTTTTGAGCATTTGAGGAAAATTTGCTAATGGAAATCCTGGTATAAAACTAGAACAGGAGGGTAGAAACCCAAATTTAAGGTCAACAAAGACATATTTGTATATTTCTTTGCTTTTTCTTCTTTTCTGTCTTTTGAACTTTCCGTCTAAGATAATATTTCTCCTGCCAGAAAACACCATTCATTATTTGCTTTAGGCCAGTTCTACTGATCACAGATTTTTTTTTTTCCACATTTTGTTTGT